GGCAGTTAGAATAACTTCGCTTAAGAATGAGGCAGAAACTACATGATCATATTCAAAAACATGCTTATCTATTCTAATGATTATGAAAAAATCATGTGTTGGAAGTTTGCTAAGGTTTGCCGAGGAAGACCTATTGGCCATAAGACACCAGTCTATAACCAATAGGAGCCCAGCAGTGAAAGAATCAGGGCGAGAGTAGCTAGTATTACACTGTTGGTTCAAGTTGACAAAAAATCTACTGTATTTTTAATTTCTAATGAACACATACCACTCTTAACCCTCTCTACAAGTTTAGCAAGCGCGCTCTGCAGTAGCTTGGCATGCTGCGCGGCAGTGTGAGTATGTAGTCGAGGAGCGCTGCAGTCGGCCGCGCTATGTAGCAGTAATACTCCGCACTCCGCCGCCGCGCCTTGTCCGTGGGATTCGCGTAGTATCTCCGTTGCTAGGTATAGTAGGGTTGGTAGAATTGATAGGGCTCCTGTGTATAAGGATAGTTTTAATGAGTTATAAGAATGTATGTAATAAGTACTTTATAATAAATCTTAATTATTTCCGGTTGAACCGATACCAACTCTGTTGAATTGCCGCCCGGCTAATGACAAGGACGAATTTATAAATCCGATGGCCAAACTTCAGGAATAAAGTGACACAATAAGAAGAATACAAATTAATAATTATATATTATTACACAGTGTATAGTGATGACAAAACATATAAGAATATTGAGCTAAAGTAAAGTCTTTATACTAGAACAACTATTATGTAGTAATATGCGCTAGATGCGCAACTACCAAATACATCTGCGCAACATGAATATTCAACTTTTTGTTATTCGCGATTATGTATCTGTATAAATAATTAATATGATTAAACGATCAGCCGTTATAGGTTCAAAAAGAAATATTTACAAGAATATAACTTAAAAAACGAACTCACCCTGAGGACTAGTCAACGACGGTAATTCAGACATGGCAGTCAAAGTTTTGACTAGCAGCGTATCACCATGTACTCCCAAACCCTTTGGCACTCCAATCACTCCTATGGCGCCTCCCTGTTTCTTAGGTGAGAGGGCTGGGAGGCGACGGACCAGCAAACAAAGGCAGGCTTCCAAACAAGCGAAAACTACTGACTTTCCAGGAGGTAAATCCCCTGTGGGACCTCCTTCTCCTAGAGTGTGGACTACTTCTAGAACTGATTGAGGAGTTGTACCGTCTGATGCTTCATCTGGTGCTAGTTCTGGGCAAGAATAATATCATTATTATAAGTTATTTGTTGTTTTGAAGATGTTTATGTTTAATTTGACATAGAATAATGATGAACATGTTAGGATCTGAGAAGACTTGTGAAGCAAATTCGGCTCTATCCTAACATGACCACAATCCAGTCTAACTTTCATAATACTAACTAGAAGTTAACTTCTAATTTTAGCCTTATTAGCAGGTATAGTTTTTCTCTCATTTATTTGCTCATCTATCTGTAGGAAAAAGTAATTTTGAATTTCTCAAATTTAATATCTTAATACAGAACTGGCTGCAAAGTCCTTCCACCAAACACTTACCTTTAATCTTGGCCTGCATATTAGCATGAAGTTGTTCCTTAGCGCCTTCTATGACTAACTTCAGTACATCAGCTGCTAGAAGCAATGCTTCGATGCTCTCCTGAGTAAGTCCAGTCCGGTGAATGATTTGACACAGTTCTATTGCTAGTGCCCTGAAAATGAATAACATTTCTATAGCTTATTACATTGGTGATAGCTTTAAAGGCTGAAAAGTCGAAGAAGAACTATACTTCGATCAAAACGGGAACAAAGGATCTTGTGATCTGTGCGAGCTAGCAGTCGTAGTACCATGGTCTCTTTCTGCTCAGTCGTTCCTTCATGTCTGAGGATCGTGGTCAGTATCAGGATTGCATCTGGAGCGCATGATCGGCTTCCAGCGGTTTCTCTCTAGCGCGACTATTACTGTCGTGCAAAATTTTGATGACAAGTCTTTTATTTGATCGGTCCATTTTGTTGCCTTCGGTGTACCATGGTAGACAGCTTAATATCAGAATTGACAGCAACAAAATCAGGTGCCGCGTTTTCATGATACCAATATTTTATAGAGCAGTTTAACCAATTTAGCGCTTTAAATTCTCCATTCTTTAGTTTACTAAACAGTCTTGGAACACATTTATCAATATACACACCTATCTTTCAGCAGTCTGGCTCTGTTCTCAGGCGCATCGAGCAGTGTGACCAGAGACAATAATACAGAGATTATATTCTCATCGCTCATATCACGTTGTGCGCAAAGAGCTTCCGTGCATATACCTGAAATAAAGAAACGATTATTTTGAAACTTGTTAAAATTTGCCTACAATATAAACCACTATTAAACTGTCGAACACCAAGCGGTCACCGGTGACCGCAACCTATTGTTCTTTAATTGTGTCTATAATGACGGTGCTCGACGAGTTAATACAAATTCATTACGTTTCCTACATACTTTAGTTGGAAAAATAATAAATTATAATATTCTTTGGAAATTATGAATCTACTTACCGAACAAAAGATGGAATCTCTCGTCGATGGGTTCAAAAAATTCAAAGTTTCCATTTTCAGTCTTCGACGATCTGTTGTCTAAGCCACCTTCCGATTTATCTGAGGACGTGGAGAATATAGATGAAATAAAAATTCAAACTTTATCACCATGACGAGAAGCCATTTGATGATTTTCCAGCCTTATAAAAAAGGAAAGGTTTCTACCCTTTCAACGAATGACAGTGTCATTACTATAGTAATATCCATAACAGTAATATTCATCGCTCTTATCTCAGGCTTAGCAATGCAATTGCGTTCGGGTCACGGCATTTTAGCTGAACACTGGCCTTTTTGCACCGTGTACTCTGTTCGTGATGTCGTGGTGGCCCGGAGGTTTAAGACTCCCGCTTCTTACGCATGAGGCTGCGGTTTCGAAACCTACCAACGGCAAGTACCAATGTGACTTTTCCGAGTTATATGTACTTTCTAAGATTATTCAGACACCACTGAGAAACGGCGAAGGAAAACATCGTGAGGAAACCTGGGCTTGTAATTTATAATTATAAGCTTGAGACAGCCAACCCACATTGAGCAATGGTATATTTTTTATTTATTAAACAAGAGTATATTTTTTATTTTTTTCTTGTATAGAAGCACTATTTTATATGGATTGTCAGTATACATATGTGAGGACCATGTCAGACTTAAGATATTTGTTTTCTCTTGGTTTTATTTTTTTTTCTATTTTAGTATGTTCTGTTATTTGTATGTTGCTTCAGGTATGTCTTTACATTATTCTCACATGTGTGTACAATATTGGAATATGTATCAGAGCAATGTAAAACAGACTTTTTTTAAAAGAGTAACGAATGAAGTTTCTTGCTCGTTCTTCTCCACTCGAATCGACATTTTGGAACGCCTAGCGCCTAGCTTCACTGACGGACAGACTGACAGACTATTATATATCTCATATTTGTTGACGTTTCAAAAGTACCAAATTATGGTTTAATTGAAATAAATGCTTTTGAGTTTGAGTGAGTTTGAGTTTGCAAGCGTGGTGATTAATGCTCAAACCTTTGCGTGTGAAAAGAGGCTTTGCTCAGCAGTGGGCTTTATAGGCTGTTGATGTTACATTGTTCAGTTTTTTTAAAACTATTTTATGTTTTGTAACGGTGCAATTAACTGTTTTTATTTTTTCTTCTGTCTAATGGTTCAAATTGGGTAATTCTTTTTGTGTTGGATAGTCCATTCATTGAGGAAGGCTATAGGCTACAAAACATCACGCTACGATGAAGAGGAGCCGATCAGGGGGTGAAATTGTACAGGAGTAACTAGTTAATGAAACGAGTTTTCTACAAATAGTAGTGCGCCTCAAGTCTCAGCGGGGTGTCTACCCATTAGAGGGTCATAAATATAAAATATTATTATCGTACCAGTAGTAGGCAGTGCTCCCCCCTTGTTATACCGTAGCGCGGCCGCGTACAGTAGCTCGGGCCAGGCGCGCGCGTAGTGGAGGCGAGACGCCTCCGCCGTCTCCGCGCAGTAGAACGCACCGCCACCGTGAGGGAGCTGAGATGCGAATTCTGGAAATTAATAAAAATTGTTTAACAAAAATAAATTATAATTTTAGCGCCGTGGATCCTTCACTGGGAAGAAACTAAGACATTTTAACTTGTGCAAGATAAATTTGCAAATGATGAGATGAGATTATTTATAAAGTACGGTAAATCTTCAAATATCGTCAATACAAGCCTGTTTCTGTCCACTACTGAACTTCTTCAATAGCTGGCCCTAGAGCTTGACCTTTACCATGGCACATCCAACGCCCTCTAGCAACTAATCTCACTTACTTTTTCAAAATGAATATATAAGTAAGTATATCTAATATCCTCCTCTCTAGAAATCAAACTAGCGCAATATTGTTCAAAATCAAGTTTTCACCCCGTAACAAGATATTTTTTTTTTTTTCAGTACATCATTATTATCTGCAATAGGGTAGTTGCCTAATTGTTATTTTAATGTCCGTTTAGTAGATTATTTTAAATCATTAGACACGTTTTTTTTTATTTTCTTACAGAAACGAATACTTTCGATTTGAAATGTCGCGTGACGTCACTTCTATGTACATTTTATACGTAAAAATGACGTTTTATACCCTACTCCTAAACTTTGATTCGTTTTATCTAAGTATTGTTTTATTATACGACAAAATAAAAAATACATGTCGAATATTTTTTCATTACCTAATTACCTACATTATACATTTTTTTCTTAATCTATTCACAAAATTTTTACTCACCAGGAGGCAAACTCAACAGCGCATGATCTTTTAACGCCGCGATCCAATTCTCCCCCAAACTCTCTAGCTCCGGTTCTACCAACTTCAGTAAACTCTCCCCTTTAGACTCAAAGTCCCCATACTCCTCATCTTCAGGTGTCTCAGGAGTTGCATTGTCAATCTGGTTATTGTTTTGTAGCAACTGATTGCGCCATCTAGCGAGTTCCGCTCGATTGTTGAAAGGTTTCGTGTCTAAATGTTTCACGTAGCTACCCGGAGCGCTGCCATTGCTCACCATTGCTACTATGTATACCTGTGGAAATTTTAATTTATTGTCAACAATAATATAACATCACGCCTTTTATCCCGAAGTGGTAGCAAATGTGTACATTACGGCACTTAATGCCACTGTACAATGTAACACCCACTTTTCACTATTTATGTTATGAGTCCCATGTCATAGGGGGTGAGATAGATTGTCAAGAATAATCGTGTTAATAAATTGTTATGATGAAATTATATATACGCTTATGATACTATTTAATTATTCACTAGCCGTTGCGCGCGATATAATAATCAATCCTGTTTTATACCATGGGAGTATTTAATCGGGATAAAAAGTATCCTATTACCTAAGTCAGCCCATACCCTGCCTGTACACCAACAATTTCATCAAAATCCGTTCAGTGTTATTGGCTGACACATCCAAACAGAGAAACTTTCATATTTATAAAAAAAACAACTAGAGCTGTGAGACTAAAACGTTTAACCACAATGGTGAAGTTAGACTTATTATAATATTATGAAAAACGTAAAAAATAAAACAATATTGACTTACCTCAGCCCATGCTTTCAAGATTGACAACTTTTCTAACGTAGCCATACTTTCGTTATAAATCAATGTTGTATTTCCCTTGGTGTTCAATTTATCCAAGCTTGAAACCAGCAGCTGATGAACTCTGGAATTGTAATTAATTTCATTCATTCATTCGTTTTCTACCAAATTCAATTTTTCCACAAATTGTTTATCATCATTAATCTAAAGTCATTACAATTACTATTTAACTTACTCATTTAATAATCGTTGCGCAAAAATTCAATCATTGCGCAAAATTCTAAGTTATTGCGCAAATAGTTTAATGATTTAGTAAGTACCTGCGCAAATCATTGATATCCCGGGCGACCCCGCACCCGATCCAAGCGGAGCAGACGTCGCATGCGGCGGCCGTCACATGCGACGCCGTGTCGCCGGAGAACGCGGGCCTCACTGCCGCGCCCACCTGTGATAAATAGAACAAAGGTATAGCAAGGTATACTGTTTATGAAGATGTACATAACTACATATACTCGTCACTTAATGCAGCAGTGTTTGCAATATAAAACTCTGTGTGCGACTGAAGAATTTGTAAAACCAAATAACTTACTTGACATGAGCAAACAATACTATTTTATGCCAAAGGGTTTTTAACAATAATCTCGTTGCAATATCAGAAACTGTAAGTCCTAAGGTAAAGTGCGAAATATACCTACCACTTAAATACTCTGACGAGCCGTTAACACTCCAGATAAATGATAGTAATTTTTGGTCAAATATATTTAACTCGATCATGTTCGTATAAGTTAGTTGCATTGTATTCAACCAACCTGCGCCTGATACTGTTCTAGAAGCAGATGTCCGGGGAAGTCAGGCTCGGGTGCCCTGGCGAACTGTTGTATGATCATCTGCAACGTCTTCAGTCCACACAGACGGAGCGCGTCCGATTCTCCCGTAGCTCCCACGAAGGCCATGCGGACTAGGTCTGATAGGTGGAGGGAGAGGTAATCTCCTGGAATGGTTAACATTGAGATTAGTTTCGAAAATATGTAACAGTAGCATGATCAGATGTGTCCTTTCAGAATTCAGTTTAAATAGGCTTGGTTTAAAATTATCCGTACCAGAGTCTATGTTCATATGCATGTTTATTGAGTACAATTTTAAGTATATATATATACATAACACCACTCGGCCAACGAGGCAGTCAGCAGAAGTATATATATAATAAAATAAAAAACTTTAAAAAAGACGTAGCCGATTTGTTGGCTTTAACTTGCACAAGTGGGTCTCGAAACACTTAAAAACTACTTTATTCACAAGTAATAAAGTCTAAAATACACATACCATCCGGTTGGTTCTGTAGCTTCTCCTTGGCTTTGACGAGATCGAAGTGAGCGCTGTCCCCGGTCGCCTCACAAGCTCCCATGATCTTCTGAATGCACTCCATTGCGAATACCTAGTTAAAGAAAAAATAGAATGATTTAATTCTCTACTTACTTTCCCGAGAGGGGCTCCCTCAAGGCCACGTGACGAAAATTATGACGTAACATTAGACTTTCGGTCAATTATGTTACCAGTCTCTCAACTCTATATCTATACTAATAAACCGACGTGAAGCAACGCTTGCGTTGTGCTTCGTTGAGTAAGTGAGGTTACCGGAGACTCAATTACCCTCCCCTCCCCCAATCTCCCCAATTCCTGAATCCCCAACGATCCTCAAACTCCTAATCCCCAAAATGCCGGTAACGCACTTGTAACGCCTCTGGTGTTCCAGGTGTCCATGGGCGACGCCGATTGCTTACCGTATGCTCGTTCACCGGCTTATGCCAACTTTAATACAAAAGTTAGCTCATATCATTGTTAAAATTGACAAAGAATAGTCATTTGCTCAACTTGGATTTAGACATTACTCGCTAGTCACATTTTAGGGGGATGGGGATTACCCAATGACTTCTTCCGCCTTGGTTAAGGCGAGAGAGACTAAGTATAAAATAAATATACAAATTCTACCAATACATACCCTAGTCGGCCACCTCGACTGTACAGCAGGATGCGTAGACTGTTCCGACTCAGCGTGGAACTCTGCTTGGTCATCATCTCCTTCACCGTCGAAATCCGTGTCAGGATTGTTGTTATCCTCTAAAAGATTGTGATAAATAGATTTTACTGTACTACTACAGAATAAAATGACAATAAGTAGGATTAAAACGATAAGAAAACTTGTACAAATAAATATTGATACAGAAACCGGACTTCTGCGCAACGCATGATGTTGTGTTCGACAAATTGTTGTCCCAGGTCTGGGTCTCATGTGAATGTGTATATTCATAAACGCGCACCCATAACATGAGACGTTTAACAAACTATATATGTGCTAAGTAAACTTTCATTTACTGTAATAACATAGTGCATAGACTATACAGACTACATAGCTACATTCCTATCTTTGACTCACCCAATCGTATAGTAAGCACTCTCTTAGCGAGTACGAGCCAGTCCTTCACGCTGCGATGCGTGGCGGCGGCCAGCAGGCAGCACGTCAAGGTGTCCCTTGCATAAGACAACGCGGTGGGATCACGTTCACTGTCTAAAAATGCGAACAAAGCGCCAGGAAGACCCGTCTCAGTGATTACTACACCTGCAAAAATAAATATTGTTGGTTTTTAATATGCGCAATGAAGCGCATGTTTGCGTAATATATTTGTATAATTTTGCGCAATGCGTGCCGCAAGTTTATTGAAAGAAATATATGATTGTTTTTTTTTCTACTAACATAACATATGAGACACTTCTCCGTTAAGAATAAATAATTGTAATCTTTTGTTACAGTATTGTTTTTCATCACTATTTATTTTCAAGATAAAACCCTAATAAATCTTTCCGAATGGTCGGATCACATTCATTCAGTTGGTGAGTTTATCTCTTGATTTTTTTAATAATTACATAACATTGTACATACCACAATAAGGCCTAGCAGGCACATGGTCTTTGGCCATAAGCGCGTACTTGCAGACTTCGGCGGCTTCCTTCTGCGACAGCTGACGCAGGCAGCAGAGGGCGGCGCGACGAACTGTCAGGTCCGAGCTTGAGAGATCACGCTGAAATGTAGAGACACGATTAAGACTCACTTTCTTAGTATTACGTACGTGGATTTTTCTTTATACAGAACCTACGGCCTAGCCAATAGCCTAGTTAAGCGCAAACCGTAGTCTCAAGTACACTTGCAACACTAGAGGTATCACAAATGCATTGCGAATCAAGAAGGGAACGGTTTCATCCCGCCATTTCGAAGATAGGTGCTTCTTAAAAATGATGGCACAAATGAACAAATCAAGTGGAGTAACATTACATTCGTGTTATGTAAGAGACCAGTACTCCTCAGGTCGAGCTAGTCCATTCAAATTGCATAAAGCAATACCGTATGTAAATCTAAATTTGGAATCTGAGGTTTCAAAAAGGGACCGAATTAGCTAAAGCTATCGTAAATTTTCTGTAAGCAGATTAATCATAATAAAAGCTTTGAGTTTGATGTTGTAAATGGTTTACTAACACAGAGTTGCGGCACGAGTGCGTGCAGGTTGATGTGGTCGGGCGCGAACATCTGTAGCTGCTGCAGACAGCCGGCCGCCTCCGCGCGCGCGCCCGCCCCGCCGCACTCGCACAGCGCCGCGCACGCGCACACGAACCTGCCCACTGCCACCACTGGGGGAAGACGTGAACGTTAACATGACAAAAAATAAAAACTGTGTTTAAAAAACCGTCTTCAAAAAACCAAAAACTAATAACAAACAAAAGGTCAAATTAAATTGCAAAAAATAACTTTTATTAGTACTGATAGCTTACCCACTCACTGATAGGTTAGAAGTCGGCGTCATAAGTTCTATACAAAATTATTCATTAAAACCTTATTTAAAATTTTGTGGCTATTAAGTTATATCATATTGATATGTGCTCATGGGACCGACTGATAGGTTAGACCTATCAGTGCGCGAACAAACAAAAAAAACAATCAGCCGAACATAGTACCACCTCCTTTTTTTGAAGTCGGTAATTACATATGTTTGTCTTCCAAAGAGTAACTTATGATAATGGATTGACACTTATTGGATCACAAAATTAAACACACGAAAAATTACGGGCACAAAGAGATGCAAAAATATCACACTTTTCACCATCAATGTTAAATTCAAGAACTTATTCGTACTTATGAACTAAGAATTTTTAAAAATCGATATCCCTATTAGTCACTTGATATATCGTACGGAAAATCCACAACATTTATTCAAATACAAAAATAGTTTCTAAACATCGGAAATAAGGTCTACAATAGAATAAGTGGAGAGCGCTTAGGGACTAGGCAGCTAGACCCCGAATCAAACCTCCTGCTTCATATCACTACTATAAATTTTCAAAAATCTAAGACTTAACGACACGTCCCAAACATCGAAAAAGACCCCGTATAAGTCACCAGTCTATTTTTACTAAAAATAAATAATTTGCAAATACCTTGCAATTCAGGTCCAACAACAGTAATCAAAGCAGACAGTAATCTTCCGATACTGCGATGGAGATCTTCTTGGAATGGCGGTGCACTGAATAGTAATTTCAAAGCCAGGTTCAATGTAGACTCCACATGACCACGGAACATAGGACCTGAAGCGTCTGCTAGTACGGAGAGAGCGTGAAGAGACCATACCTGAAGAAATGGTGTGATATTAGTGTTTATACATTTTGCGCAATGAATTTAGGGTTTGCGCAATGAATATTGTACTTTGCGCAAGTCTGATTTTAATATTCTTATTCTAAACTTATTTAGAAAATTGGTAGCAAAATTTCTTCGTATTATAAAAATTTCATTATTTCTCAAAAATTGCTGTACATTAATGAAGACTATTAAAATAAGGTTACAAATAAAAATAAGAAAGGTAATTTACTTGCAACTCAACAGCTGCTGTATCTTGCGCTAACGCCCTAAGTACAGGAAGCGCTGCAGCGCTTGAAGTAGCGCCCCTAGCACGTTGCACCGCTCCTACAGCCGCTGCAGCCGCTGCACGGACGGACCGGTTGACCGCTGTACGCGCTAAAGCAATCACTTTCTCAGACAATGCTTGACTTTCCGCTTCAGAGATACAGCCACATAAACGGCCAGCACATGAAGCGGCCGCAGCGCGAACTGTTGCGCTGTTAGCTGATAAACCATTCTGTAAAGAAGATAAATATTGGTATATGAAGAAAGAAAATTAATTAAAATCGCGAGAAATCTCTACTAAATTCGAGCCACAAAGGCGATGTCGTGAGTGTGAGAGCTTACTAGCTTAGTAGAGTGAACTTCTAGAGCTTTTCGCTGTATATTCACGTAGGTAACCCGCGATTTTAGTTGATTTAGTATGTCTCACGATAGTTATAAAAGAACGAAAATTATTTTGATGAAACTTAATACAATTAATACATATACAGCGTTTACAGATCCATTACGAGTAGCTACGATAATATTATAGCATTTGACCCACTGTTTAATTAAATAAATAACTTTAATTGCTCAAAATAATATTACTGAAGAAATTAATTTAACACTGTAATACTTAATTACATGAATCTAGTTCACCTTAAAGTTGAAGAGAAAGATAGACAGGTTTGCGCAACAGCTGCGCAAACTCACAAATATCAAATAAGATTAAAAAAACTTAATATACTCACAATAACTAATTCAGTAGCAATATTCTTAACGGCCTCCTGTCCTAGCGAGCTCTTGAGTTCGGCTAGGGTCCTCAGCGCGAGCAACAGAGCTGTATACACATTGATCTGAATCGCTTCCTGACGGGCACCCTTCGACATTTTGATACATTCCGCAAAATGTTCTAGCATTTGTTGCCTGTGGGATAAAGACGAAATTTGTTTAGGACAAAGCAATGTTTTTAACACAAACCTGTCATAAATATCCTTCTAGCTTCAAACAGCTTGTTTTACGTTTAAAGTAAACGAAACGAGTACGCGTTCGGCACTGTGATTGGCCGGCTCTGATGAACCAACGAATCAGAGCGAACAGAACGTAAAAAAACTCGTACTAACGCCTCAGTAATTGGCTACTTTCTTTAATCAAAAATAAATTGTTTCTTCAATACAATAAAATATTCAAAATTAATCACACTTAAATTAATTGATTTTATGACTAATTTAATTTTAGTATTTTCCCAGCAATTTTTTAAGTATGTTGTTTGACGCTAAAAAAATGTGACAACACAATACACAATGTCGTACAAAATTCATAGAAAACTCTCGTTTATGACAGTTCGAAAAAAGTATTGAATTTGACTAGTTGGCAAGTACCTAATTCTAGGTAAGTTACGATAACATCTTTAAAAAAAATAATCAGTCACTATCGCAAGGCACTTACCGGTGTTTATTCGCAGCTCTAGAGAATATCTGTGGGAAGAGCAACACGGATGCGTCGATGACGGCGACGCCGAGTGGCTGGGCGCCGGTGACGCCGCGGTACAGGCAACACGGGTCGTGCTCCAGGGCACCCGACCCACTCGCACTCAAGGGCGACATCAGCTAAAATGGAAGAACTTTATTATAATAATCTTACTACATATTTCTATATCTATTTATTTATAACTGCCTCGTTGGTTCAATGACGCCGGCCAATCAGAGTGTCGAATACTTTAAACGTAATTGAAACTCATACTAAGGGTACAGTCACGGACATAATGACAAGGTCGAACTGGTATATTTAAATTAGCTTTTTTGTGTTTTATTTTTATATTTGATGGGCCGACGTTAGATCACTATCTCGCCTGGTAAGCGATGATGCGGTCTACGATGGATCACGTCGTCCCATAAGCAACCTATTCACTCGGGCCTTGAAGACGTCCGTACATATTATAGTGTATGTTACTTACCTGGTCTTCAATTTCGGCATGATCCGTGTCGTAGATCCATCCTTCTTCGCCCAGCAGTATGGTATCACGTGGATGCATTGCATTTCGAAGTGTACCTGTAGTAAAACATAACTAATTATCTATACAAATAAATACATTCGAGTGTCTGTTTGTAATATTAAAATAACCGCTTTTTCCTACATGTATATGAGTGTACATACGATACACATACCAAATATTTTTATTACATTTTTTGTCCGTCTGTCTGTCTGTACTGTCTAATCTCTGCAATGGCTGGACCGATTTTGCAAGACTTTTATTGGCTGATATACTAAGGAGTAAAATACGCTACTATTATTTTATAAAATCAAAAAAAAATATTCTAAGGGGACAAAGTCGCGGGCAACAGCTAGTAATTACTATTAGCACTCGTATGACAATCACATAATGGAATGCAACATCTTACTGACCAGTAGCAACATTAGCCCCACTAGGATCAGCCGAGCCAGCCAGCTCAGCAGCCAGCAGCCTCAGTAGAGGAGCGGGAGGGGGGGAGCCTCCCCCTCCTAATGCGTAACAAGCTTGATACACCCGGAGACGGAGTAATGCGGCGGGGGCCTTCAGAGCGCCGCCGTATGAACGTACAACTGTGCTGACGCTGAAACGAGAGTTGTAAATTATTATAGTACAAAAAGTTTTTAATTTGTAGAAGAGCCATGCTTCGACACGAATGGGCCGGCCTGAACGGAGTGATACCGCGGTCTCACAGAAAAACTACGTGAAACAACGCTTGCTTTTAATCACCCCCCCCCCTTCCTCAATCTCCCCAACCCCTGAATCCCCAACAAACCTCAAATTCCTAATCCCCAAAAGGCCGGTAACGCACTTGTAACGTCTCTGGTGTTCCAGGTGTCCATGGGCGACGGCGATTGCTTACCATCAGGTGATCCGTCTGCTCCTTCACCGGCTTATCCCATAAAAAAATCTATCTCTATTAGGAACTTTTTTCTTTATAACGCTTTTCCCACAAATCGTTGGTCATTCTCATTTATAATGGACATATTGAATTCATACTTTTCTACCTCCTATCAAAGTTTAATGTATGGAAAACAATAGCTTACTTGGTAAGAACAGCAATGGCGCCATCTATGGGTTGCGTGAGACGTTTGGCTGTATCATCATTGTGAACTAGCGAAGGGCAATGGATCAGCAGACTATGTAATGCTGATAAGGCTCCAGCGCGACCTTCCAATGTAACCTTTAAGAAATGTAATACTACTAAGCCAAGGAGAATAATATGGTATTTCTAGTATGTATTAAATAGTATGAAAATTCACAACTGCGACTGTTGGCCTAGTGGTCGGAAGTGCGACTGCCGGGCAAGAGGTCTCGGGTTAGATTCCCGGTGCGGGCAGAGTATTACTGGGCTTTTTAAAAATTCTCAGTAGTAGCACGGAGTCTGGAATTGTGCCCCGTATATGACAATAGGGTCACCCCCTATTACATGGGACTTATAACATAAATAGTGAAAATTGGGTATTCGATTGTACAATGGCATAATGTGTACCTCTGCCTACCCCTTCGGGATAAAAGGCGTGATGTGATGTTATGTTATGTTATAAAAACTTACAATTATACGACAGAACAATATATTTGCGAGGAAACTTACCTGCCAAGTAAAAGCATCACCCCTGGACTTCTCAGACTCTAATTCTTTAGCAGAGCGAGGGAAACTGTTGCGCCATAGTAGTAACATTCTGGGTAACAAACCACGGACGACTGGCACTCCTGGGAACAAATATATTGATGAGTGACTTGAAATTATTTATTTATTTATAGAAGTTAGACAAAGATCAATATCTCGAGTCAAATTAAGGCTGCACCTTTATTTTCATCACTACATAGTATAAAATAAAGTCGCTATCCGCCGTCGGTCTGTCCCTATGTATGCTTAGATCTTTAAAACTACGCAACGGATTTTGATGCGGTTTTCTTTAACAGATAGAGTGATTCTTAAGGAAGGTTTATATGTATAATGCATGCATGCATATTGCACCCGTGCGAAACCGGGTCGGGTCGCTAGTTGAAAATAATTTGCTACTATTTTTTATTAAAACTTCGAGCATACAAGTAAGCTACGTATAATTTGCAGTCTTGTCTAAATCTAATACAACCTTAAGGGTCCTTCTATCTCTGTACGAAAATTCATTAAACTAATTCAGTGGCTTGATAAGGCGTTAAAATATAACAAACACAATTTTTTTATCAAATAAATCGCGAGTTACTTACGTGACAATACTGACCGCGCACGCTGCTCATGAAGAACCCTCGTTGGTTCGAAACTAGTAGAGCTTTTCTCAATATTTTCACGTGAGTAACCCGCGATTTTTTGTTAATTTAGTATGTCTCACGTTAATTATTATAGTAAATATATTATTGTTAACTTACCTAGCGTACAAATAGCCCCAACAATGAGCCAGCCCGCGTTAGTTCTGGCAGCAGTCAGGCGACTACTTTGTCCCGCTGACCGGAGCAATTGTTCCGCCGCGTTAAACGCCACTTTCCCTCGTCCGTGGGGGATGCCTAGTGGGGATAGACGCACTGCGCCTAGGATAGCTGCTAAAGCTGCTGAGTAACCTGGAAAATGGAGGGAAGGATGTATTAAAATACTTTAATGACAGTCGTTTGGAAGCATATAGAGGAAAATCATTGTTGTAAGAAGCTATTTCTAAGCAGAAGTTATAAAACAAAACCATACAACGTTCCTTAAAAAAGATTTTTTTATTTTTTTTTAATACGTTTTCCTACTGCTAGGATTTTCTCTTGTGTCGTGAGTGCGTTTACAAACATGCAAGTTCACATACACATGACACCTAGACTCGGAACAACGATCTGTGGATTACACAAAGAGCTGTTCCGTACGGGAATCGAACCCGCGACACGTTGCGCGGTAGTCAGTTGCCCAAACACCGCGCCAACCGTCAAAATGGCAATAGATTGTTCATCAAACACAGTTGAATATTTCAAAGTAAGATTTCCATGTCGAAGTTACCCTTGGCGCATCAATACCTACGTGATAAAATATTAATTTGAAAATCATTCCAAGTTTGAGGAACAAAACATGTGACATTTGTTTTGTAAAGACTTAAAAAAAAGGGAGTAGTTACCGGAGATGTGGTGCGGCGTGGGGCGGGCGGCGTCGAGCGCGTCGACGCAGCGGTCGAGCAGCGGCGCGAGGTGCGCGGGCGCCGCCACGCACACGGCGCGCGCGCACCACGCCGCCGCCAGCCGCGCCGCCGCGCACGGGTGGCACAGCACCTGCGCCGTACTCTCACCGTCACTCGGGCACATGCCATGACACACTACATCATATGGTGTCATGGCAAGGTCTCGTCATAAGCAATTAGATCGAACACATTACTTGTAGACTTTTGCACTATGAAACATTTTCATAGTTAAGTCTACATATTTTTCTAATAAGATAAAAACTTAAATTTTCATTGTAAATCTACTTCGCTATTACTTTATTCATAGTTTAAGTTATATTTTAAACCACTATCGCAAGGTAATAAAGTGTATTTTCCAACTTACAGTACAAATAGCGTCGATCATGTTGAGTGAAGTATCGGACACAAGGTTCTGTACGGACGTGCCGAGCTGCAGCGCCAACTCTCCAGCTTCCATCAACGCACAAACTAGCAAATGTTGACTGAATAACGTTTCCTGTGAAAAAAACAAAAAAAATTATTGATGACAATCAAATACGTATACATACTCTAGTACGCATTATTCTATGAAGTTTTGTGTGTGAAGATCTTTGTAATGTGTCTATATGTATAAATCTGTCCCTCTATTTGTGCATAGATAAACCCACGGAATATAGAATACAATGGAAGTAGCAAGTAGGCGTGGCACGCGTGCCACAACTAAGCAGTGTACTGCTTACTCGAGGCAAATTCGAGTTCAGTCTCGTTCGAACATCGCGTCGAGTTGCTAGTCTCGTGACAAATACATATTTCCTCAACTATGCCGTTTTGTTCCGTTTTGGCGTGTAAAAATGATAGCAGCAGAAAAATCGTAAAAATGGAGGTGTTCCGTATCATCGGTAAGTATTAGTTTGGCGACACCGGTTCTGGCAGAAATATTGTTTCAAGCTACTTCCATTGTATTCTATATTCCGTGGATAAACCAGACAGTAAGAAGCTGCTGAATGCAGTTTGCAGTCGATTTCAAATACCGATCGACAAATGGGTGTTTCATTTAAAATTTGCTACTATATCCGTGCTTGAGAGGATGAAAAACGTAATTGAGTACTTTCTTCAATCAAAAATAAATTATGTCGACTGTTCAATATAATAAAATATTAAAAAATAATCACACTTCAATTCGTTGATTTTATAACCAACTTAATTTTAGTAATTTTTAAGCAAATTATTAAGAAATAAGTACGCTATGACGCAAAAAAAAACGTGACGTCACAATACATAATCTCGTTAAAAATTAAAGAAAACTGTCGTTTTTGACAGTTCGAAAAAAGTATTGAATTTGACTAGTTGGCGAGTTTTTTATGGCATAAGCCGGTAAACGGGCAGACGGATCACCTGACGGTAAGCAATCGGCGTCGCCCATGGACATCTGGAACACCAGAGGCATTACAAGTGTGTTACCGGCCTTTTGGGGATTAGGAATTTGAGGATCGTTGGGGATTCTGGAATTGGGGAGATTGGGGGAGGGGAGGGTATTTAAGCCTCCGGTAACCTCACTCACACGACGAAACACAACGCAAGCGTTGCTTCACGTCGGTTACCTGTGAGGCCGTGGTATCACTTCGGTCGAGCCGGCCCATTCGTGCCGAAGCGTGGCTCTCCCACATTTAAGACCCGCACAACGCGCTTAGGTTTACAGGCAAAAACCTAGAAACAAACAAAAATAACAAAAATTGCAACAATACCTGATTACAATCCTTAGCATTCTCAGGGTTGAAGTCAATGCTGTTCATCTGCTTGATAACAATCTGTATGATCTCGCGACAGGCTGACGACTGAGCCTTCTCGCCCAGCATCTTACCGAGCGTGTTACGTAATATGAAGTTTATGCATTTTCTGGTGACAATAATAAAATATTCCATAAACAACATGAGAACTACAATTAAATTATTATACAGAATCGGAACATTAATTTATGGACCTGAATATTTTTTGTAAGAATCGAATCTGCAACAAGACACGCAACAGTCGGTTGTGCAGCTACTGCGCCAACAGTATAGTCAGTTACTTAATGTCGCAATTGTCATTTTTTCCTCCAGTTTACTAATCACATAGTCTAATTTTGTTTTAGGAAACTTACCTTGAATAAACAGCGTCTACATGCGAGCTAGCCGCCTTGGGGTTGGCGACTAGATCTAATACGTGATTCAAGAACGTCGTCAAATTACGTTCCAGCCACACGCCTCCCATGTTCTGAACGAATATCACGTACGCCTGGGGACAGGACACCAAGATTATTAGAAGATTCTAAGTCACCATAACATTTCTACAATATTTAACTGGTCAACATCCAAGCGATCACTGGTGACAGCTCTCCACTTACACCATTATATACCTTATTTACGATGTATAGAGCCTACTTTTGTATGAACAAATGCTGGGGTTTTGTCATAATCTAACATTTATGAGTTAATATCTTGAATAAGATCACTTCTATTACATGGGATTTATAATGTAATGCAAGATTAGCTGTTACATTTTTTTTTTATTTGCAGAATAAAACGCATGATGTTATTGTAACACATACATAACATCACGCCTTTTATTCCTGAACGGGTAGGCAGAGGTGCACATTATACTACTGTACTTACAATGTAACACCCACTTTTCACTATTTATGTTATGAGTCCCATGTAATAGGGGGCGAGCCTATTGCCATATACCGGGCACAATTCCAGGGTCCGTACTACTACTGAGATTTATTTTAAAAAACCCAGTAATACTTCGCCCGACCCGGGAATCGAACCCGAGACCCCTTGCCCGGTAGTCACACTTGCGACCACTCGGCCAACGAGGCAGTCAATGATGTTATTGTAATGTAATGTTAAATGCTAACCTCAATGACACGAAGTTTCAAGTGAGGATCAAACTGAAATCCTTATACTCAGCATTCGCATTTAAATTACTCGCCTAGTACCCGACAGTATATTAACTTATTGTGACTATAACTATATCACAATCATCATAATACTTACATGCGTCACACAAACTCTCACTTCCCGATTGACTCCGGAACTGGACTTAATTATCTCTCCTTTCAGGAATGAGGTACCTCCACGTAGGAAGGCACCCATCAACAAATTCAATGCTTCATCTAATGATACTACGTTCTTCGGCGGGTCTTTCTTTTGTTGTACTGTAAATTAAGACAAGGAATTGATTAAAAATATAATATTTAACTATAAAAAAGGACATTTAGATGGTCTGCGCAAGAACCTGCGGCAGTTTAAATTTTGCGCAACACTCATTGCGCAACACTCATTGCGCAACACTCGTTGCGCTAATACTAAAGGTTTTATTCATTAAAAATACTGACTGCAAATATAAAAAACTAGTAATAAACATTTATCTTTTTAAAAAGATTACAGAAAACCATGTCTTTAAACCATTTTACAGTACCTGATGGCGTCCCAGTTTTCAGCTTAGAATTCAAATTAGTCACTTCTCCAGCTTGTGTGATTGCTATTAGCGCGCCCAATAACTCGGCTATAGCGCATCTGTAATGAAAACCAATATTTGTTGGTATCAAAGACACCACACAAAAGTTGCTCCCACAATTTAGCAAAATCTAATTTTCATTTTCCAATATAACCTCGTCTTTACCTTAAAGAATAATCACTAGACTGAGCAGCCCTTAGACAGGCAGCTGCAATGGCGTCTAAATCAGCTGGAGTTAGCCGCATCAACGGCAATAAATGTCGCAATGTATGGGCCGCAGCCGCTCGTACTGCGGTTGCCCTTTCCGAAACAAGCGCCGCGCGGGCCGCTCGAGATACCTCGCGAACTGCCGCCGGCGCAGCCGTACCCATACCCACACAGATCTGAAAAGAAATTAGAATTGAGATATAAAATAAATGCTAGGAATATGAAAAGTTTAAATTGGTTTCGTAATTTGTCTTCGGATTCAAATAGGTTGGCGGAATGGATTTAATCCTTCCCCAATTAGCATTCCGTTGCGACGTTTTATTCATCAAAATCATAACTTTTAAAACATAGTACTCTCTTGAATGCCTCATTGCCCAAGCGGTCGCAAATTCGACTGCCGGGCTAGGGGTGTCGGGTTCGATACCCGAGTCGGGCAAAGTATTACTGGGTTTTTAAAAAAGGGAGTCTGAAAATGTGCCCTGTGTATAGCAATAGACTCACCCCCTATTACATGGAACTCATAACATGAATAGTGGAAAGTGGGTGTCACATTGTACGTGATGTTATATTTTGTTTACTCTCTCGAGTTTGATGATAGGTATGATTATAAAGTCTAATATGCATGAATATTTGGGCTTTCTACAATAGTTCGCTAAATCCGGATTCCCGGTTATCCGGATATCTAACCAAAAAAAATATCTTTCTGACAGCCAATTGACCTATTAACGACATCATAACCAATTACTTTGTTTACGATAAAACTATGTAAGAAGTTCTTTATAGACATATATTTAGGTACCGTCTTCGCGGAACTCGTAATATTTTCTTAACAACACATGTTGCTTTGTATACTAACAAAACGTGTTGATAAACATTGTCCAGTCTCCAGTCATAGCATAAATTGTTTGTGTGAATTGACACAAGTATCTATTCGACCTTGTTATCTACATAGTAGGAATTTCCAGTCATGGACTAACTTTAACTTTAGGGAATTCAACATTTGACTAGATGTTTATTAGATGTCATTTAAATATCAAGACGATTTTTAAACTGATCTCTACATAAAAGAGTGTCGTGTGAGTGAGGTTACCGGAGGCCCAATTACCTTCCATTTCCCCAATCCCTGAATCCCCAACGATCCTCAAACTCGTAATCCCCAAAAAGCTCATGGCGGAATGGCAGCAACGACTGTCGCAACCGAGGGCTGGGCTCGCTGCCATCGCAGCGGTAAGTCCCCTCTTTGAGGAGTGGCTTGAGAGACGCTACGGCGTCCTCACCTACCGCCTGACGCAGGTCCTCACCGGACATGGGAGTTTCGGGAGGTACCTGTGTCTGATGGGGCGGAAGGAAACGTCCGGGTGTCATCACTGCGAGGACCGCCCTGAGGACACGGTGGAACACACTGTCGCGGAATGCCCTGCGTGGGCTGAGCACCGCCGTGTCCTCAGGGAAGTGATCGGCGATGGCGACCTCTCGCGTCCGGGCCTAGTGCAGGCCATGATGCGGAGCGAGGGGGACTGGGATGCCGTCTCCTCCTTTTGCGAAGCAGTCATGCTAGCTAAGGAGGAGGCGGGACGCGTGAGGCAGCGAAGCGCTGCCTCCTCGCAACCCAGCCATCGCGAAGGACACACCGGGCGTCGGGGATCGCGGGACGATCTCCGGCCACCGTAAGCGCGGGCCTGCGGACGGCGAGCATGGGTGGCTCCCCGTCCGACCAGAAACAGACCCGAGCGTACGGCGCGTCGCGTTCCGCGCGCGCCTCAAAGAGCCATCAGACCACCACAGATGGGGCCCAATAGGGCCGATGCCGATTCGGAGTCGCGGAGAACCTAACGGGTAACCGGGGCTCCGGCTCGACGTGCAGAAGAAGGAACGGGGTGGTTTTTAGTCAGTAAGAGTCTGACACTCCCTCCCGCCTCACCCAGGCGGGAGCAGTCATTCGATGATTTTCCCCCCTTAAAAAAAAAAAAAAATCCCCAAAAAGCCGGTGACGCACTTGTAACGCCTCTGATGTTCCAAGTGTCCATGGGCGACGCCGATTGCTTACCATCAGGTGATCCGTCTGCTCGTATACCGGCTTATGCCATAAAAAAAGAAGCAAAAAACACACTTGCTAAAAGTGGGAATGCGCTGAACTTTATGACAGGGAGAAATATATACTAAAACAACAATCAATTCTATAGGAATACACCAAGGATATATTTTTAGTATACACCTCAACATTTAACCAATAAATAGCCAACATCAATTTAACTTGACATATATTTTACCTTAAACATTTTACAACCTGCGATAAGAATAGGTCGAGTACGTAAAGAAGGAGATAATAACGAATTTCCATAATGTATTCAAGGAAGTAACTGTAGTTTACAAGCACAAACATTCATGTAAATGTTCACTTGTTTGGGAAATGAAATAAGGCAACACGCCTTCCACTTTATGAAGTACGTCTTAATCAAACTCTTTGGTAAATCGAAGTAATAAATTATATTACATCAAGTTTCCAAGCATAAATTATTATATATATTTTAATCCTATATTTAAGTTGTCTACGTTGATACGAGCGATATAGCAGGTAACAATAGGTAGTAGTAGACTTTTATCCCTACCTGCCAGAGCCTCGTTAATCAGTTGCCTCGTAGGTCACGAGATTGCAAGTTTGACTGGCCTGCAAGCGGCCTTGAGTTCGATTCTCAGCTTAAGCATATTATTGGAGATTCTTCAGTTTTCTAAACGTTTCTCAGTAATAACTTATAAATTATGAAAAATGAGTTTTACGAAGTCTAAAATAAAAATAACTCAGTAAACCATATTTATTTTAATACGATAAACCAACCTTTTCAAGAGTATTCATAATTTCAAGTCTTGCCTGCGACTCAGCATTTTTCAATGATCTGACTAGGGTCGTCACCGTCTCCTCGTATGACCTTCCCATCATCCTGCCGAGTTTCTCGTACATACTTCCCAAACAGCATATCGCAGCCCTGAAAAAAAAAAATAGTAAGCAGCAATTTTTTAGGCGAATCATCCGATGGTAAGCAGTTGTCACCGTCCATGGACATCTACAACACCAAAGTGCATTAACAGTTTTAGTACTAGTAGGTACTAAGAAAACGACACACAACAAAAAATTGAGCCTATTGAACCGAAACCCTTGAGTATGAATTTCAATAATATTTTGCCTAACATCATGGTCAACGAGAATTATAGTTTTAGAAAGATATACAATTTCTTTAAAGGCCTATTATAATGAGATTTTAAATATAATCTGTAATAAGCTCATTATACTTCTGCTGCGCTTGTATTGCGTAATGTAATATACGTCGTTGACTAGAGACAACAGATGCTAACATACTAACAAGCTTACAGACACGAGAACAAAAAAAAGTATGTCCATATTATCTTTACCAAATTGAGCCTAACAAAGCCTAGATAAACAAAAGTGTTACAAAATACAAATATGGAACATGCTTAGTCTAGTTTAATTTTTGGCCAGTGTTAGCAAAAAAGGTGCCTTGTTGGTAAAGTGGTCGCAATTACGACTGACGTTCAAGAGGTCTAGGGCCGAGATTACCGGTAATGACATGTATTTTGGAATTGTGCCGGTATTCGGCAATAGGCTTGCACCCATTTAATGGGACACATAACATGGTGAAGAACTGGAACTAGGCACACTTAGAGCGCACGGGCATCTCTGCCTACTCCTTTGGCGATTATTTGACGTGACGTTATGTAATGTTTCCAAGAATGAGTAAGATTTTATTTTCTATTGAGACTTCACAGCCTCTATTTTTGTGTAGAATACAAGCTCGATATTTTTAGCAGAGTGACCGACATGAATGGTAGTCTCAAAATATTTGCAGATGTGATACAACTTTTTTCGCAGGTTTATTTATTGTTAGTGTGAGTGCTAAGCAAATTTATACACGACTAGCTGCAAACTTCGTACCGCCTTAAAAATATTTTTCTCACCTTTTAAACCTTCCCTGGACTTCCACGAACATTTCAAGACCAAAATTAGCCAAATCGGTTCAGCCGTTCTCGAGTTTTAGCGAGACTAACGAACGGAAATTCATTTTTATTTATATACACGATAAGTAATTACCTAAAGACTTTAATTTATAGACAAAATATCTTAAAGTAAAATAATAACTACTATATCATTCTTTTTTTTAATACCTGCTATAGATTTAGGGGCTTTTGGTCACAATACGACCACGCCAGCCCCATCATAAACTAATATAGGAATTAAACGATATTCCAACTTAAAGACTGCTAGAGAGGTGCTGATGAATACCTTTAAAATTAATTTGATAGATTTTGGTTTTGTTCAAAGTATATTCAGAGCCTGTTTCGAATGCAGCTATTTTACTATTGCCGGAATACTGAAACGTTACTCAATTTTAAGTCGTGCTTAAATATCGTGCTGTCTCTGTCATTTTACAAAGAACTTGTAGTGACAGAACTATACTTAAGCGCGACTTAAAATTGAGTAACGTTTCAGTATTCGGGCATATATCATTCTAATATCGTTTTTGGATATTTTTTGATTTTTTTTAAACGTTGCCCCACGTGCCACGTGCAATACTAGGATTTTCTCCTGTGTCGTGGGTGCGTTTACAAACATACAAGTTCACATACACATGACAACCAGACCCGAAACAACAATTTGTGGATCACACAAAGAGTCGCTCCGTGCGGGAATCGAACTCGCGACACGTTGCGCGGCAGCCAATTGCCCAGCCACCGCGCCAACCAAACAGTCATGATGAGGTATTTTTCTTTTATTGTAGATTTTATCTTTTTACCTAATAATCGAAATAGATGAGAACACCTCTCTATTATGTAAACATTTCCAAATCGCAGCTAGATGTCACCTCGACTAAACAAATACTTAAACTTCAATAGTTAAATAATATGGTAAACACACTTCACCTAGTTATTTCATAAGGCTATTTAAATCTATTGGAGTGACTTATATGATGTCATAGTGCTTTGTTCATAAACTGAATAGGTGACCTTTTTGTTTTGACATTTAGAAAATGTTAAGTGAACTATGACACTAATAGTGATGTCCCATGAGATTTAATGGGGACAGAGAAGGCATTCTTTATGACGTCTTTTATATGTCTATCTCTATACATATAATATAGAACAAAGACAATACACATTTCACGAGGATTGCCAGTAATTGGGAATCTGAATAATAAACTCGAAGATGAAACAACAGTCTTGCATAAATACGTTCTATCATGATCATACTATGTCCTGCCTAGACATTATTATCGGATAAGAGTCAAATTATGCATATAAATGGGCTTTAAATCATACATGTAAATCTTATATGAATGTAGAACTACCTACAATGAGAAACTGCCTACAATGCCTTCACAATAACATGGAAATACTGATGACTTTCTAGAAAAAAATTACTGAATAATCATCATGCACTCTATGCTTATAATGCACACACCAATTAACACACGAAAAATTTACAAACATTATCACTTACAGTCTAGTCGGCAAATAAGATGGCGAATCATCTTTAACTTTGATGATGTCATTGCATTTATTCACAGTATCGAACAGCAGGAACGTGTCTCCAACAGAGAACAGAGTAGCCAAATTCCTGGCTAACAACCTCCTGGCTGGTCCACCGAGGTTCTCACGTAAGAGGTTCACTAGCTGAGCCACTAGCTTTTGCTGGCAGCTTTTTATGTCAGACTGAAAAGAAAAATTCAATATAATCAAATAGGTCCATACAAACAGGTTTATTCAAGTCAAATAGGGCTTATTAGGATTGAATAATGGTTAAATAAAAATACACTTTAGTTTCTCTTAATACATGGTGCAGTGTCATGGTGGCAGTTGAGTGAAGTTTAAGATGCACACTTCTCATCCAAGAGAACGCAGGTTCTAAGTACCTATGTGTCTTTTTATATTGAGTTATATGTACTTTTAGTTATATTTGGCAGTGGCTACTTATAGGCTGTTGATGATGATGATGCCAGAGTGCAGGTCTAAACTAGACACAATGTATTATCTATTGTGTCTTGGTTAGCATCAGACAAGTGGTCAATACATAATTTTATTGTTAACATAATCCATTATGAAGCATTGGACTATCCTATCATTTCATGTATACATTCCAATGCATTGTTTATTTATGCTAAAACATAAACATAATTATATACTAATAAAAATATTCTTGTGTAGAATGCAATAAGCATATAAGAAACATATTTAAGATTCTCCAAGGGTTTGAAATTTTTTATTCTTTTCATACATATTTGTACTTTTTAAAAATGAGAATATGATGATACAATACATGTACAATTAATATGAATTTAACTAGTTGCTCTTTGGTTCAATAACGAAGGTTGGAGAAAAATATTTACCTTATGTGCAGCCACAAGTACTTTGTCAAGAAACCGGAGCCACTCAAATATGAAATGTGGCTTCTTGTCATCAGGTAACTGTTGCAGAGCTGACTCATTCAAAGTCAGGGAATGGGACACCTCCATTTTTCTAAAATAAGAAGTTTTTATTTAGAACAGCAACATAATAATGTTTCCAACTAGAAATATTCAATACTCATTAAGAAGACAATCATTTAATGATAATATTCTATAGTTTTATATGAAAAATAAGCAAACTACATACTTCTAACTAAACAGTAACTGTACATCAGAGTCAAATAGAAGTAAATATTTTTTTATGAGAATCTAATTATTTAAGAAATTGGTCTACTTAAAAACAGATTTCATTGCAATCAAGAAATGTCCTTATTCAAACAACATAAAAGCTGGCTATAATAATTGAATGCACCCTTTATATTAGTTTCAATGCATACTATTTCTGTACATTTTTCTATTTTAACAGGCTCATTCAAACAGTTTTAATTACTACAGTGTTTATACTCGTGGCCTAACACAATAAACCTACTTTCGTAAGCTAACAGTTTTAGTGCGTGCAAAATGAGACTATGGAGCGCTGTAACACATTGCAATTTGTTTATTATACTTAATTATACTCGGCAATGGCGTCAACGCGATGAATCAACCGGAGGCTGATAATATTACACTGAAATCAGCACAGGGTCATACAGCTAGCTTTATTTACGATGAAAATGATACACAGACTTACTATAAACAATTAAAATCATACAAACCAATGAACGTGGGTAGGAAATTGGAGAACACACAACTTTCACATAATATTTAATAATTAAAGTTCAAATACAACACTCCAATCAACTCAAATTAAATTAATGATAGTGAAACTATTAAGATTTTAAAAAAACGATCACTGAGTAAATAGCAATCAAATTGAGGATATTTGTTTGAATAAAATACATATAAAATACTTAGACTGAACACAGCATCAGCAGTCAGTATTTATTAATTTCTGACAGCAATAGCACACAGCATCTAATGTCAAAGTGAGTTTAGAGTGGTGCTGGTGCGAAAATACTAATGAGAAAAATCGGCAAACAGCACTTTTCTTGTTTTTTCAGAGTGAACTAATTAGATTTTGGTGCAATTCTGTATTCGTTAACTCAAAAATAGCAGTTATATTTAAGGAACAAAATGAAAGTAAAATATTTTTTCATTTTCGTTCTTGGTTTAATCTATGCTAAAATAGGGATGGCAGGTGCTTTTCTGTCAAGGTTGCCAGCTTCGCAACTTTACCCCTACATTTAGGAGCTAAATCAATGCAGATGGATTTTTTTTATTTAATTTTCTTAATCCCTGAGCCCGCGAGAAAAGTGATTTGTATTGAAAAAAAATATCTAAATAATATATTATTATTCCTCAAGAAAGGAGAGGCCGCCCGGTAGGAAGAGGGTGTCTACGTCCCCGTGCAGCCTCTTCTATGGAAATATAAGTCGCCATTTCAGAGAAAAACACTGTTTTTGAACTTAATTATATGTTTAAACCGGTCTCCTACCTTAGAAGGTTAAAAAATGAAAAGCTTAACCGAAAACAAGGAGAAAAGATAACTGAAATTAAAATTAAATTGAGAAACGTTTGTTGGTGTGATACTTTTGGAGAGAAAAAATACTAGAAGTGGTAGCACCGATTTCTTTCATTCACTCATAATGTAAAATGTAGTTTGTAATTTGCTAGTTTGCTAGTTTTTTAAGTATGGTTTATGTAGTGACGAGTCAAGCTCAAGAAGTTAGTCAGTTCAGTCCAGTGAGCTGCCAGATCAGTCAGTGCAGTGCCACTTCTCTAGTCGTGTCAAAGTCATCTTGTTGATTGCTCGCGATCGCGATTGTCCGACGCTTTCCAGAAATAGTGTAATTTTTAATTATATTGTTAATCTACTTAACGAAATTTTACTATATACACATTTATCATAGTTCTGTGATCGTTTAACATGGACTCTAAAATGCAGTGAATTTGACCTAACACGTAGGCTACGTGTGTTGTAAGAAGCCAATTTATACCTAAAGCTTAAAAGAACAAGATCAATGATTAACATGAGTGCCCAGCAGAGCCCGGCGGCGAATATGCAGTCCGTGGACAGAGAAAAGATATTTACGTGGATCTTGGAGTTGTGCAATCCTGAGACACGCGAAAACGCGTTATTGGAGCTGAGCAAGAAACGTGAGAATGTGCCAGATCTGGCACCCATGTTGTGGCATAGTTTCGGCACTATATCGGCGCTACTGCAAGAAATCACCAACATCTACGTGGCTATGATTCCGCCGACGCTCACAGCTCACCAGAGCAACCGTGTCTGCAATGCCCTAGCGCTCATGCAGTGCGTCGCCTCACACCCGGAGACACGCTCGGCCTTTCTACAAGCACATGTGCCTTTATTCTTGTACCCTTTCCTTCATACCGTATCTAAAACGCGGCCATTTGAATACTTACGCCTAACTAGTCTTGGAGTCATTGGAGCCCTAGTGAAAACAGATGAACAAGAAGTAATTACATTTTTGTTGACTACTGAAATTATTCCATTGTGTCTGCGAATCATGGAGAATGGGTCCGAGCTGTCCAAGACCGTAGCTACTTTTATTTTACAGAAGATATTACTTGATGATAGTGGCCTTTGTTACATATGCCAGACCTATGACAGATTTTCGCATGTAGCTATGATATTAGGAAAAATGGTACTCTCTCTGGCCAAAGACCCATCAGCACGGTTGTTAAAGCATGTAGTGAGGTGCTACCTACGCCTATCCGACAATGCAAGAGCTAGAGAGGCTCTGAGGCAGTGCTTGCCAGATCAATTGAGGGATTCAACATTTGCTGCTTGTCTCCAAGAGGACAATTCAACAAAGCATTGGCTAGCCCAGCTGATTAAAAATTTGGAAGCCCAGCCACCCCCGGCCAGTCCAGCACCACAGAACATGTGAGCTTTGTCTTTTGAAACATGCCACCCACTATGGACAATGGCAATAAGTAGTGCAATTTTATACAATAATTAATAAAACTAGCTAGCACAATTACACATCACTGCTTATTAATTGTTGACAGTTAGTATATATTCTATTGCAGAGATGTATGAACAAGCCTCAGTGATTAGGCTTAGGAAAGACGCATATAATATTAAGATATGGTGCACAAGCATTCCCAGTTGTTTTCTGAAGCAAGCATTGAGAAACAATAAACTTGCATAGACTGACTAGAAAATATAAATATGCTGTGCACCACTTACTCTATCAAAGTATAAGTACTTAGGTTCTTAGGGAATTCAGGAAATTCCATAAAAGTCAAAATGATTTTTAAGTATAAGCAATACTAGTGCTACTAATTGTTATTGTTTATAGTGGGCCTGTGTGCCTTTTTTACAATTCACAGACCAAATCTGTGTTTATACAAGATATTCTACAGATTTGAACTGTCATTATGTTTATGATGAACATATCCATTGGTAATGAAATAATTGAACTAATGTAATGACTAAATTTTCCTTTTTATTGTTATTATACGTATTGTCTATTACACATTGTTGTATTATTTTTTTAGGTACAAAACAAGATGAAAGCACTAATTTTGTATGCAGTCGTAGTGGACTAGGATTAAAACCATTTTAATTATTTCAATGCATTTTTTTATTTTATCTTCATCCTAAATGGGTTAAAATGATGAAAGAAGGCTGACCTGATGGATACTATGACAAAGTAATATATCACACCAGAATACATTATGAAGGATATTCATCTGTGCAACAGCCTCCTAGTAAGTATTGATGTTTGTAGTAAATGTTCAGTGGACTTCTTGTAAACTACAAGTAGCAGTTGCATTTAAGTACAACTTGAAGTTAAGTGCAACTGCTAAGCATGAGGCCTCAACCCTCATATAAAAAAAAATGCAATGAAGTAGTACACACTTGTGTTTTATTTGTAAAAATTGACTAGATCATCCATTACAATGGGTTTTAAAAGTAAAAATAAATATGGATTCTATAAATGCAGTTTTAATTTTCTTATTTTACAATAACTAATGAATATCTTTACTAATAAATTTGAATTTTTTTTTGTTGGATAGTCCATATATCGAAGACACTAAACTTTAGTGGCAAGTGGAAACATAAATGTAATAAAATGACTCAATTACATATAGAGTCTTATTGCTAATATTGATTGACATAAAATTGAATGGTAATATTAGTATTATGTGTTGTATTGTATTGTAAATGATTGGGAAAATGCTAGGATGAAAAATACCACCGAAATTTTTAAAAAGTTTGTAAACGAACAGATGAATCATCTGAAGGTAAGCAATCGGCGTAGCCCATGGACACCTGGAACACCAGAGACCATTACATGTGTGTTACCGGACTTTTGGAGTATAGGAAATTTTAGGGTTGTTGTGGATTCAGGCATTGTTGTTAGATAATTTGGCCTACAATAGGATATACTCATTATTATGATGACCTACTTATGTAGGTCCCAACTTATTTTCATCATCTACGCCTGTTTAGCATCTGTGTTAGTTATTTACTGTTTATTAACTTGCCCGCGACCTCGTCCGCGTAGAATATGAATTTTAAAACATAGGTAACAATTTTTTAGTTTCAATTTTACAAAATAAATGCAGCATATGCTACTTCTTAGTACATCAGTTACCTACCAATAAAAGTCTAGTAAAATCGGTTCCGCCATTCCAGAGATTAGCCAGTACAAACAGACAAGACAGAACAATATAATTATATATTTGTT